AGTTGCAACACCAACCATCCAATGTTGTATTGTTGCAACACGAGTTGCAATACCGTAATACCGTAATTTTACATTACGGGTGCCAACTTTAACTGACAGCAAAGTATTCATAATCAGATTGGTAAAAATCGTCACAAAAATTAATGAAAAAGTCACCGGCAAGGTGAAGTTTCGGTTAAATGAGATAGAATTTGGTTGTTTAGAATTCAAGATGTTTAATGAATATTTATTTCATGATATAATTAAAAGTTGTGTATATTCGTTCGTGGGATCTTTTTTTTATGCCAAAATTAAAGTAGGTTTTTTGCTGCAAGTAGTCAATCGTTAATGATAATATTTGAATGAATTAATTATATCCTCTCTCATATTATCTATTAGTTATTAGTTCACCAAGCAATCAAATTCGACATACACATCAATGGTCTGAAGGAGCCTGAAAAATTCTTGCCGTTGGCAATGACATTTTCCGAAGAGGTTATGAAGTTATCAAAAATAGATGATGATAATGATCATGTTTAAGATTTCATGCCAAGTGTACAATGCTTTTCGAAAGAAGTTGAGAATTAAAAAAAAGACGTGGAGATATCAGTAGCAGATTACACGAGCAAAATTATCACGTTTCATGATTCTGAAGGTTTGTATTTTGGTAAGAAGCAAGAAGCTATTATTGCAAGTAGGTATTTACGAAGATTGCTCCAAGAAATAGAACCAACCTTAAAGGGTTTTTTGACCAACTCTATTTAGCAGCTCGGCCATATGAAGAGATTAATGGTGGTTATCATATGTTATCTTCTTGCCTAATTAAATAATACAAAAATTAACTCTTTTAAGTTCAACCTTGCATTCTATTTAGATTTGGTAGGTACAAGTCTTGGAACAACCACAACATCAAGAGCAATAGATCGTAAATAGAATCAAGTTGCTGATGAACATGAGAAATATGTAGAGAATGCACTTACAAAACATTCAAAAAAGTGCATTCATGTCGAATGTTGACGATTATCATAGCATTCACGTCCAGAGACAACTAGATTAAGCACAAAATCAGTATCCTTTAATTACTAAACTTTATCTAATGGTGTTAATTGTCTTCGCTAGTTTACGAAATAACCAATCGTCATCTTCCAAGAGGTTTTGTTACTTCTAGGAAACCATTTTTTGCAATTACGTATATTGTGATTACATGAACTATACTAATTTGAATAATTGTAGTGTATATACTCACGTGTAGACATGGTTACCACAATCATTGTCTATAAAGGTGCCAATCTAAATGTTAGATATCTTGGACTATCTTCAAGTCGAAATCAAAAAAAATGTCAATGTGCTAAAAGAAAGTACGACGAAAAGATTAAACGAAAATGAATTAGAACTCAACACAGATGATAAAGAAACAAACAAAATATCTCGAATATAAGCACATATACAGTTTTGTTGACTAAAACATGTTAAAATTGTGTTGCTTATATTCCAGTAGTGTTCCTAATCGAAAATCAAATTTTTTACGAATATTCGAAAATCAATTTATTCAAGGAAATTCGAATATATATAATTTATTTCGTAATTATTATGGATACTCGTAATTATTATGAATACTCGTAATTATTTTGGTTACTCGTAATTATTTTGGATACTCGTAATAATTTCAAACATTTGTTACGAATATTATCACAAATGATTATCGATTGATAACAAGAAGTACCCCAGGACCAGAACGTTTACTAATTATTGACACATAAAAAAACAATTGTTTGTTTGAGCGAAGGAATAAGAACAGGTAACAAAATTGTTGATTGACCAATCAAAATCATGAATTTGTCAACAATCACTTCACCAACAGTTGTTTCGTTAACAAATGGTTTGAATTTAAGAAATTGGAAGTTACGCCAAAAAAATTAAAAATGACGGTTTTGCTTTATAGTATGCTAATGCCCATAATTATACCATAATAATTCGTTATACCATAATTCGTATAAAAATTGTCTTAATAAAAAAGCTCATTCTATATCTAAAATAGTCATACTACTTATTGAACTTTATCAGCAAAAAATTAGATGTTGCTTTAATTATGATAATCAAAGGCCGTGTTTTCTCTTTGAAATTTTCAAACAAATAATAGTGATAAAAATAAATTAAATCCTGAATTTTCTTAGTTCTAAACTAAACAAATTCTACAAAAATTTGTAACAATGTTAGTTTACACTTTATACATTAAAAAAAAAGTAACAGGCATTTATTTAATTGAATCATAAAGAAAGATTCAATAATATTATTCAATTTGATTTGATCTACAAGAAATCAAAGGAACCAATTTCAATCAGAATTTTTGATTCATTTTTTTAAATCAAACACCCAACGAAAGTAAAAAATTTGTTCCAAAAAATTATTTTATCCTAATGATAAATCCATTATCATTGCCTATGTCATTGTCATATCATTGTCATATCCTTGTCCATGTCCTATTCTTATTCTTAAGAAATCAGTTCATTTCCGTGAAACTCTGATTTACTTTTTGGGACATTCTTTAATTAGACTGGTTTTGTTGGTTTTTTTATTATTTATTTTAAACAAGCTTATATATAACTGAGAACGCAATGTGAGCCTTTTGCTTTTCGTGTTACAAAACACACATACTGTTCTACACGAGAATAAAAATTCAATTAAGTTGGATTTTGCGTCTTCTTCGTCACAAAGAGCAAAAAAATGACATCACTCGGGCCAAGGCAATAGTCTATTTTATTAAATTCGAAACATATAAATAGGACAGCCGTCCAGTGTTGTGACCCGAAACTCTGAGTTTAGGGAAAACCCGAAACAGAAACTAACATAAACTAGTTTAGGTTAGTAGTTTATGTTTAGGTTTAGGTTTAGCTTTAGCTTTCTGCTTAGTGTAAGTTCATTTTCCGAAACGTTTCGGGAAGCCAAAAAAGTTTCTGGTCACAACACTGCAGCCGTCCAAACTTTTTTTTTTGTTATTTTTTCGTAGAGAAATTCCTCTCAGGCCATTTCAGCGCACGGAACTCAACCTTCTACATTCGACCACATGAAATAATTGTTCGTTATTATTTACAACGTTATTACAGGATAGACCGTTCAGGTAACACGAAAATTTAACCTACGCAATTGTTGATTGACCAATTAAAATCGTAAATTTAAAAATAAAACATTTAATATGGGTTTGATTCATTTTGTCAACAATCACTTCACGAACAATTGTTTCATTAACAAATGGCTCGAATTTAAGAAGTTGGAAGCAACCATTTGAAATAGTCTAATAAATTAAATCGTACTACTCGAAAATGTATTTAAAGGGTTGGTTTTCGACTTGGTTGAAGAATAACTCTCTTCCTAACTCTTCTCTTGACCATATCTCTCGATATAATCAAAATAACCTTAATATAACGAATTTCAAAATGATTGTAAACGCGATCAATTTAAGGTATACGATCAATAGGAATCATTAACGATGTATGAAAAAATAAAACAAAATTTACAACTCTAAAAAATTTTTTTTTGCATGTAATAAAATTCATATATATATGTTAAAAAATTGGTCAACTTCAAAATACTAAAACAAAAAAAAAATATATCATTTTAAAAAATTTAACTAATAAGTTTTATTGTTCATGGCTCAAGCTTCAAAACTTATTGGCTGGTTTTTTCTTAAACTGAACCTTAGCATTTGAAAATTCCGAATTTTGTTATACACTTAAGAAAATTGAGACCAAGTAAATTTCGTGTAACACCTTTTTTTCATAGAATATTTTCTACATCATACATTTGATTTATTTGACTTATTTATTTCCTTTTTTTTATTAATAAATAAAAGTTCTTTATATTTACAACAAAAAAGTTTAACGAACATATTACATTAAAAGAAAATCATTACCAAATTTGGTCATGAGATTCATAATAGTGTGACACGAAAATTATTGTTGCACTTTTGAGCATAACTTTCAAATTTAAAAAAATCTATGAAAAAGAAAATTTGAGACAAAAATTTTTTTTAGATTAATAGACTCCTTTTTAAAGCTGAATTGAATGGCGGCGAGTTTTTAAAAATCCATTATGTGGATCACATAATATTTCAAGAATTTTAACTTTTGAGTATGATTTGTTGGTATGTATAATTTCGGTGTGTAACTAACACAAATTTCTACAAATTTAGAAATGTATGACGTTTATAGATGGGCGTCTAAATTGTTTTTGGGGTTGTCTAAAGTCAAAATAGTATTTAGACAAAAATGTCTAAATGTCTA